GGTGCAATTGGAGAAATGTTAATACAATTCTGCTTTGTTTATGGAATGGCTCTGGGCCAAACTTAATATGTGTGTGAAGACTGTGCCTGATAATTGGAAGAATGTTCACTTTTCACTTACAGGCAAGAGTAGCAAAAATTAATGCTGCCAGTTGGAGGGAGGTAGTACTTTGTTAAATGCTCCAGGGAAGGTATTTGGTAAATTTCTGATTTAAAGGTATCACAGGATGTAGTAATGAGCAAAATTTGGGAAGGACAGTTCTGCTTTTTGCTATGAAGCCAGAGTTTTATCTTTTGGTAAGCCATTGAGAAATATGTGAATCTGAGAAAATTAGTTCATTGTACATTTGTTGATTTAAACGAAGTGTCTGATAAAATTAATAGACTTGAATTAAGAAACTTTTGCATAAAGCTGAAGGTCAGTTCCTGAATGCAATAAGAGTAATACTTAAGGGAAGTAAAACACATGTGTGAATAAATGGAATGCTTAGTGAATGATTCAACATGTAACAGGTACTAAAACAAGGATGCATGACGTCCCTATGATTATTTAATGTACTTATGGATATAAGGAATGCTTGTGGTAATGTTAATGACATTCGTGTTTGGAGTGTGAATGAACAAGTATTTTTAAATGTAGATGATACCAAGTTGTTGACTGAGATTCCAGTTCATTTGAACTGAATGTTAGACATTCAGTGATACAGTGAGGAACATGAAACTGAAAATTAATATATTAAAAACCAAGATAGTTGCATTTGAAAATGGACTGGACAGCTACAAGTTCTATAGACTAATGGATTGGTAGAAGATGGGACAATGGATGAATAGATTTAAAATATGCAAATGTTTGTGGTGAAAAATGAATATTGCTGTAAAATGGCTATGTATGAAAATGTGCTGCTACAGTACCCACTTTGTTATGTGGAAGTAGGAGTTGGAGAAGTCATTAAAGTATATTTTAGTTAAGTTTCATTCCAGCAGGTATATAGTACTTAAAAACTGTGTGTTATAAAAGGTCAAGAAACTTGGGTGCTGAATGAAGATAGGTTGAATTCAAAAGTGAGTAAACAGAAAGAAATATAACAATGTAGTTTGATCATATGGAAAGAATGAAGATCAAATTGGAAAAGGATTATTTGAAGGGAGGATGAATGAGTTTAAAGGAAGGGGAAGACTGAAAACCATGGTTTGATAGAGTTGATGAAATTCTGAAAAGAGATGAGGTTAAAAATTCAAAGAACAAAACACAGTACATGAATGGTATATGGAAAAGGCAAAAGCAAGGATAATTTTTAATGTCAGGAAAGTATAGAGAGGTGTAGTGAATGGTCATGGTGTAAAGTAATTTTAAGTAAATTTCTTGTGCCTTATCACATGTATTTTAATTTATTTAATTATTATTAAAATCTCTTTTCCATATTTACAGTTCACATATTGCTTTCTCTGAAAGTGAGTACGCTGATGATATGTATGTATTTGATACATTAATCTGTTATTAGTAACCATGTTTTTATCCTTGTAGTTGCTTTATTTAGTCTTTAAAATGTGTCATTAATTTAGAATACCTCAAGTATACTCTAAATTAAACCTTTGAGACATAAAGCATTAATAAGTAATTTAGGACAGACTATCAAAAATACATTACGGAAGAAACATTTGACTATGTCCAAATTATCTGGGTTTTCATTGGCTGCATTAAACAAACTTCCTTTGATACATTTGTGACCTGAATTTTTAATTTGTAATATCCAAATTTAATTCAGACTTTTTTTGGAGTTCTTTAGGTGCATCAGTGGGGATTGGGCTATATTTGGCTTTTTAAAATATTTTTTAATTCTCCCCACTTGTACTGCTTAGTAATTAATGATTCAAAAATGTAGGTCTATGATAACTAAGTTATCATAGAAGAGGAAAACCATTATTAAAGAATTATAGATACCACCAAACATAACATGCATGTCATGAATACTGAATTTAAAGTGTATTTTTTAAACCTAAAAGTTTAAAGTTCCAAATTCAAGATTATTCTTAAACTTTTGGTCCTGTCTGCATGACTCAACAGCATCTTGTGTATGGAAATGAAGAAGAACCTTTTCAGTTCCTTCTTATGGTAATAGCCTAGTTTTGGTTTCAGGCTGCTTATTTGTGAGGTTGCTAGAAAAGGCTGTCATGCCACACATGGACTCTAAATAAAATTTGAAACTCAAGGCAAAACAAGCTTAACGGTGAGCAAATATGGATTAATAATAAAGAATAACATCAAAGGGCTTACTGGAGAGATTCCATAAAATAATAAAATAAGTCATAGGAAATTTAAATCATTAATCATTTTTGGTTAAGCACAATTACTGAAGTAGCCACATAAGCAGATGTCAAAAAATTATTGAAGTAAAAGCAGATTGTAAAATGTCCAGGTAAATTAGCAATATGTGGCAAATATAGCTCTATCCAAGTAAGTTTAAAGGGATATACTTTGGGATAAAAATCAGTGTATCCTAATTTCACAGTCACTGGTGGGGTTTGAGATGTTAGTGGGTAATTGGGAAATACTTGAAAGTATAGTGATTCAGTTTAATAATTTGCTGTATCAAAGCCATGCTAGATTCATTTAAGAAACAAATGAAATAAACTTGCCAATGCTATAAAACTTTATACCTCTTTTCCCCTATCTTTTGCTTTTTAATAAATTTTTTAACAGTTTTCAGATTGGGGTGAACATTATATAACCAGAAGTGCTGATGAAAAACCACCTATGTTAAGATTTGGCTCTTGAGTTAGTATTGAAGGTGGTCTGTTTTTATCACAGACTGGTAACAGTATTTGCCTAGATCACAGGTGTCAAACCTGTGGCATTATGTTGCCGTCACATGATGTTTCGTGACCGTTTTCCCATTTGCGGAATGAGTGAGCATGGCTTATGCATGATGCATCCATTCCATTGGCCTCCAGTTTGACACCCCTGGCCTAGATGAAAAGACAGGTATATAGTCCCCAAATGTCCCTTTTTTCAAACTGGATTAGCTTGCCCTTCTTTTAATCTATCAGTCTGCAGCACCAAACTGCCTGTATTTGAATATTGCAAATTATGCTCAGAGCAGTTTCTCATAGTACCACAAAACTTTTCACAAAAGTTATCACTGTTGTATATAACAAATAAGCAATAACACAGACAAAAATATATGATTTTAAAACATCTTATTTATAATAATGCATTCTCTTTTCCAAATGCTTGGAGAGTGAAAACTAATCTTAACTCTGAATTAAGAGCATTCCAACATTTGGGACTAACTCAAGAGAAAATCTGTTTCTGCAGTATTAACAGGTGACATCTTTGCTGCAGATCATCATCATAAGGCAGTTTTATAATCATGCAGGTAGACCTTCACTTGCCATTGTGAAGATGAATTGATTTTCATGCATCATTGCTTCCACCAAACAATTTTGAGCTATATTTTAAGTACTCTTTACATGGAGGTGGTAAGTACTACATAAGTTCCAAGCAAAAAACAAAACAGCTATTGTATTTCTTAGAGTCTGTGTTTATTTTTTCTTTCCTGTCTTCTTAAAGGAAAGTTCTGAAATGTAATAATAAACTAAATAATCTTATCCAATTGACTGAACAGTATAAAAACATACTCTGATAAGAACACAGAAGCCATTTTGTTTTCTTTCGGTGTTTTTTATTACTGCTTTAATTCCTTTATCTTAGAATTTTGTAGACTGCCTTTTGCTCTTAGAGAACTGGCAGGCTATAAATATAAGTAAAATAGAAATATAGCTTCTAGTCAGAATTTGTTAATCATGACAGTTTTTCAAAATCTCTTTTTCTGGATTAATTTTTACTGCTTTCTCTGGGACATCTTTTACTTTACTGTATTAAATTATTTAGAACCTCATACTATATTATAAACTATAACAATTGTAACTATAAAATATATTATTTTAAACATCTCAGTCAGTGTGATTGCCATTGGTGACATTATATTGAAATATATGGCTTGGTTTCAACCAGTAAACTTTTTAAAAATTCTCAAATTTCTGAGCTGCAATGGTGCAGTTCATCTGTAGGTAGCAATCTATGAAAAAATCTGAGCTCTATCATTTTTGCATTTGATGGTTTTAATGCTATTCCAGATTTTAAAAATATATTTAGTTGATTTCGATCCTTAGATGTACCCTCAAAGCATTGGATGTGCCCCCATCCAATATTAACACAGTCTCACTTGATTACATACCAATCAAACCTGGGCAGTTATTTCTGTTTATTAGTGCATGAAAACAAATATAGTGCAACATAAAACTCTTTAAAAAAATTTAAATTTGTGGAATCTACACTTTCTAATTAAAGTCACAGGTCTGAGCAGATTGTTATTCTATATTTATATAGCAAGTTAAGCCAAACAAAGCTTAGGAATTAAGAGAAACAACCTAGGAAACAAAGGATCGGAAGAGGACTTAGAAGAAACAATAGAGTGAAGATTCCTAATGAACTGCAGTTACAGTCTGACAAAGCTAATGAATACTATTTAAATTAGAAAGGATTATATTCAAAATTACTACAAAGCATTCACTATTTGATATAGAATTATACCTTTTTACATTTTAGTGATCAGATTTGTTTAAGAAAAGTGCAAGCTCTACAAATGGTAAGTTTGGTTAGAAATAAAAAAAAAATCAGAGTGCTTTTCTCTGATTTAAGCAGTGATGGTTCCCTTGTTTTAAATCAATCTAGCCTGATAGTAATTGAACACAATTACATATGATAATTCAAGTGTAGATGATACTAGTCATTGTGGGAGCTGGTATTTGATTTGTGCATCATTTTTATGACTTAGCTTTGCAAAATACATTGCTGCGTTATGGAAAAATACTTGAATAACTTTGACAAACGATTTGTTTTTTCTTTCCCCATCTCTATGGGGGATTGTGAATACGTGGGTATTTGTGGCAAACCTTAACTTAATAAGTAGTTACAGCCATCTGCAATTACTTCCCCAGGGAGAAAACATCCAGACTAACCCAAAGTTACCTTTGGCAGCTATGTCATCCCCCATTCCTTCCATTTCCTGGTAAGTTTCCAATTGGCTAGTGTGATCTATTCTTACAGAGATTTTTAATATCATACTTTCATTCTTTTTGTGTTTTCCTTACTTCATAAACAAAATATGAAGTAATATAGAATGAAGCCATTTTTGAAATACTTATTATGAATACATGTAGGACAAACTCTTGACTTAGTTCATAAGTTTTGAGAGTTCATGGTAACAGATTTAGTTAGTTTGGGGACACTGATTAAAATGCTTCATCTTAAAACATAAATTAAAAAGAATAAAATAATATAAAATAAATCTATACGGTAGAATTATTGCCATGGATGTTAATATAGCTAAGAAATAGGACCCTTAGCACATACAGCTTTAGGTATAATAGTGGAATTGCTTGATTTGTTTCAATCTGTCTAGTACTGACAGTGTCTAGAGGGATATAAAAGAGGTATTGAGTTTATGGGGGAAGCCACTTTTGTCAATCTGATTGCTTTGCCCTTCCAATGGATTCAGCTGTCAAGTACTGTTCACTAAAACTCTGATAGACATCTGATTTGAGACTGAAGATTGCAACTTATATAATGACATATGCAAACACTATAGATTAAAATATTAAGGAGCCTGGATAGCTCTGCAGACTAAAGCACTGTAATTTAACACCAGCTGTCTGCACTTAAAGTAAGTTCGAATCTTGCCAGGCTCAAAGTTGACTTAGCCTTCCATCCTTTCTAAGGTAGGTAAATTGAGGACCCAGTTTGTGGGGGCAATAAGCTGACTTTGTATAAAATATACAAAAGTATGAAGGCTATTGCTTAACGCACTGTAAGCCGCCCTGAGTCTCCGGAGAAGGGAGGCATATAAATCAAATTTAAAAAAATAAAATAATATAAGACATTGGATATGATACACACACACACACATATCCACTCAGTGGATATTCATATATGTGTGGTGTGGTGTATGTGTGTCTATACAAACAGACATAACACACACACACAAACAACACATGAATATCCAATGAGTGTATACTCATGATGAATAAATTCCTTTTTAAATATATAGAACAGGAGACTGATCTTTCTGCATTTGAGTAGTCTGTCATGCCCCCGTCGGAACCTGAATCTGCAGGGGAAGATGAGCTGGAACAGGAGCCAACAGAGATCAAGCGGAGGCTCCCTTGGCTTTGGAGGAAAATGGGGAAGGGCAGAGTCAGTCCGGGCAGGGCTTTTCAGGATTAGAAAGGCTTTTAGACAGGGAGGAGCAGGAGAGAGACAGCTCAGGAGAAGAGCAAGGACCATCCCCTCCTGATCCTAGAGCACGAAGAGAAGAGAGAAGGCAAGAACAACGCAGACTGAGCCAGGGAGGAGAGTGCCCCATCCTCCTTCACAAGGCACACCTGGCAACTAAGATATAAGGAGATGCCGGTGGGAGGGGCATTTGTTGAGAACAAGCGTTCCCAACAAATGTGGAGCCTCATGTGCACTTGCCGACTCCTGGAAATTATTGTGCTCTGTCTTGGGCTTTCCCGGCTTGCTTGCTTCGCTGAACTTCTTGCTCTGGTTACTGTTTTGCTAACCTTGCTTACTGGATTATTTTCAGCCAGAGGCTGTTGAAGGTGCGTGTGAGAGCTTTGCTCCAGGACTTGTAGTAAACATGGGGATATTTGGGGGCAAAATTGGAGCAATAAAGGGGAGTTAGAACTGTCCTCTGGCTGTGTTGCTTTTGTGCCATGCCTCGGTTCATCCCATAGTCCTTGACTCACAACAGTTCATTTAATGATGGATCGAAGTTACAGTGACACAGAAATAAATAACTTATGACCGTTTTCACATTTATGACCATTTTAGTATCCCCAATGGTCACATGATCAAAATTCAGATGCTTGACAATTAGTTCATATTTATGAGGGTTGCAGTGTCCTGGGATCATGTGATCACCTTTTGTGATCTTCTGACAATCAGAGTCAATGGGGAAGTCAGATTCACTTAATAACTGTGTTACTAACTTAACAACTGCAGTGATTCACTTAACTTTGGCAAGAAAGGTTGTGAAATGAAGCAAAACTCACTTAACAAATGTCTCACTTAGCAACATAAATTTTGGACTCAGTTATGGTTAGCTTACAAACATTAAAAACTGATCAACATTAAAATGCTAAATAAATAATAATTACAATAAAAGATGGGAGGAATGGAGCATTAAGTGCATAGGTGGAATCTTCTCTAGTCTGATAGCCACCTCCAGAGTCTGCATCCCCATTGGGGCTCCAGGCCAACTGGTAGAGCCAGGTCTTTAGACCCTTATGGAAGGTCAGGAGGGTGGATGCAGATCTCACCTCGGTTGGGTATGACGTTCCAAACAGCAGGAGCCAGGGCAGAAAAGGCTCTTCTCCTGGATCCTATCAGTCAAAATTCTTTGAGTAACAAGGTCTGCAGCATGCTCTTTCTATTGCCATGGTTGGGGTGTGGCAATCCCATTGGAATTAGATGGTTCCTCAGATAGCCTGGACCAATGGCCTGAAAAGCTTTAAAGCTGATAACCCACACCTTAAACTGTACCTGGAAACAAGCCGGCAGCCAGTGTAGCTCACACAACAGCGATGTAACATGGGTCACCCTAATGACCACAAGAACTGGCCACTCCACCACATAACTGGCCGCTACACCACAAGTTGTAGCTTCCACATAATCTTCAAAGGTAGCCCCATGTAGAGTGCATTGCAGTAGCTCAGGTTTGAGATGATCAGGACTTGAGTGACCAAGCACCGGGACTTCAAATACAGGAAAGATCGCAACTGGTGCACAACATGAAGTTGTGCAAAGGATCTCCTAGGCACAACCACCATTTGCTCTTTGAGCAGGAATCATGAGTCCAAGAGAAACCCCCAAATTGCACAACTGTTCTGTCTGCGCTAGTGCAACCTCATCCAGAATTAAAGATATTTAAGTCCTGAATCTCAAAGCTCCATCCATTCAAAGCTATTCGGTCTTTCCAGGGTTCAGTTGAAGCCTGTTGTCCTCCATCCAGACTCCCACAACCTCTAGGTACTGCAAGAGGGAAGCCACATGTCTATTAGTCTCTTTTATGATACCAACGCAAGGTTGAAAGGTGTTCCTTGTTTGGCCTCATTTGTTTCCTTCTGAATCTTTACATATTGCTTCCTGTCTCTTGTAACAGCTTTCTGAAATACTTTAAGTTCCTTTTGTGAGAGTTTTGTCTTTCTTGGCTTTGGCTTCTGTTTTCTTTTTGGCAATTTCTATGATTTTTTTCTGACATCCAGTTTGCTTTCGTCTGTTTCTTCATCTTTGGTGATCTTTTTTCACATTTATCCTTAACAATGTCTTTAAGTTCTTTCCATAATCCCTCTGGTTCTCTGTTAATGAAATTCAGAATGTTAAAATGATGCCTTATCATTTCTTTGAAAAGGATAGGTATATGTTTAAGGTCATATTATGGAAACTGACTGGCTTTCTCTTTTTTTTAGCTTAACTTGGAACTTGCATATGAGCAATTTGCAATCTGTTCCAGGTGAGCACCTGGCCATGTCTTTGAGGCTTTAATTGAGTTCCTTCTTTCCTTTCAGCAATAATATAGTTAATTTGATTGCTATATATTCCATCTAGTGATGTCTATGTATATAGAGGTATATCATTTTGTTGTTTGAAGACAGTATAAGCTGTGAAGAAATCATAGAAATTGAGTATTCATTCTGCTTCATTTCAGTTTCCTAAGCCATATAATTCAACTACATTTTCCTCTTCCATGTTTCCAACTTTGGCATTCCAGTCTCCAATCACAAGCAGCATCTTGTTTGCATGTTCTGTCAATTTCAGCTAGATCTTGACCTTAGAAGTCATCAGCTTCAACTTCTGCATCAGTGTTTGGAACATAAACCTGAATGATTAGGGTTACCCCCAAAGTCTAATCATTATTATTCAGCACTGATTGCACTGTAACCAAGTACTGTTCTTGCTATACATTTCCAAACTATAAAAGCAACACAATTTCCTCTTTGTTTTTCAAGTTGTGAATTATAAATGGTGAGATCTTTTAACTGAAAGTGTTTGATTTCTGACCATCTCAATTTGCTAATGTCTAATATGTCAATTTATACAATTTCAGGATTGTATAAACACAGGACAGTTTCATCTGTCCTGTGTTTAGGCTTCCTATGTTCAGTGTTCCTACTGTAATTCTTTCTGCAGCTTTGAATTTTCATTTTCTGTATGGCAGCATCAGCAGTTAGACGTCTCAAGGCTTTAATTTAGCCATGTCATAAACAGTATTAATATTTCAAAAGAGCCTCAGGTCTTTTTCAGTAGCATATTGAGTCCCATTCTACCTGAGGGTCCTATTGGCCAGCACTTTGTCACCAGTCATTTTATATTTTTGCTCCATGTGGTTGTCTTGGTAAAAATACAGTAGTAGTTTAGCATTGCCTTCTCTTGCATTGTATGAATTTATGCCTTTCCCATTGCCGCTAAACTGCCTCTGGCATCTTTTTATATCACTGCTGCCCAGTATAGATACCTGTTTGCTTTAGCTGGGTCATAAGTGACCACATTGGAAATATATACTCTTGACATATACTCCCCAAATTTTTTGTTCATCCCTCACAGGAGCACCACTCCCCCCTCCTGCCTATATAGGGTAACACAGCAATTTATCATTACCAGTAGAAAAACATTACATAAGAAATAGCCTATTTGGCCCTAAAAGCTAATCAGATTAGAAGTATATTTATTGTATAAAATCGGTTTCAGAGTACTGAGGGTTATCTGTATTAAATTGTATTTCTCAGCTTGATCATATTATGTTGTTTTCATGTTTAATCACTTTTAGCAAATTGGAATTCTTCTCACACTCATTTCCCCTCCTGCCCCCACTTTTTCCCTTGGCCCTCCACAACAATACAGCTTTGAAAAAGTACTGTAAGAGTATGAGATTTGGGGGTACATGATAACATTTCACTTTTTTTTTTTTAAATTTGATATATATGCTGCCCTTCTCCGAAGACTCAGGGCGGCTTACAATGTACTCAGCAATAGCCTTCATCCTTTTGTATATTTATACAAAGTCAGCTTATTGCCCCCACAACTGGGTCCTCAATTTACCTACCTTAGAAAGGATGGATGGCTGAGTCAACCTTGAGCCTTGGCGAGATTCGAACCCTGCAGTAATTGCAGGCAGCTGGTCTTAATAACCAGCTTAATAACAGGGTGCCTTAAACCCCTGTACTACCAAGGCTCTTATGAGAAGAGAAGAGTAACTTTGTTACTGCTGGTTATATATCTTGAAAATTTGCAGTGGTATCAGTGGAAGCTTTTGTTATTGTAACTCTTAGAGGCAAGTGGGATAAAGGAACAAGACCTCCCAGGAAGGGGGTGGGAAGTTATCACTGCTTGTCTTTATGCAAAATTCCCATATCATATATCTATAGTAACAAAAGGGGACCAAATGTTTTGCTATCTTAGGAATGCCACAATTGATCAAGCATAAGCATCAGTTGGAACATGGGTCATATAAGGTAGATTACTGAAGATGAAAATGATGGTTCATAAGGTAATAAATGTAGCAAACTGAACTAATATTTGTAAAACTCTCTGAAATATATCCTTTTATAAACCTAATCAACCTGTAAGATATACCATTATGATAAGAATTTTCTGAACTGACAAATAGTTTGGAACATCTCAGTGTGAACTCTGGTGTGGTTATGCAGTGTAAACACATTGGCTATGTAACAAAATAATTGCAGAAAACTTATTGTTGCTTTCATAACCTTCCAGCCATTTTCTAAGATATATAACATAGATAAAAAAGCTGGTGAAGATAGAATTGTCTTAATTTATTTTATTTTATTTATTTATTTTATTTTTATTTTATTTGATTTTTATACTGCCCTTCTCCAACAGGACTCAAGGCGGTGAACAGCCGAGATAAAACATAACATATAAAATTTAAAAAACAGTTTAAAAGACATTAAATAATTTCGGCCCTCAAATTAAAACAACCCAGTTAAACCAATTTCAAATTAAAACCGAAAGGATGGGATCAAGCCAGCCCGGCTAGATGAAATAGATGAGTTTTCAGGGCCCGATGAAAAATCTGGAGGTCTGGTATTGTGCGTATCTCTGGGGGTAGGTCGTTCCAGAGGGCAGGTGCTGCCACAGAGAAGGCTCTTCCCCTGGGGGTCGCCAGCCGACATTGTCTGGTGGACGGCACCCTGAGAAGACCCTCTCTGTGCAAGCGAACTGGCCGGTGGGAGGCTATTGGCGGCAGAAGGCGGTCTCGTAGATACCCTGGCCCTAAGCCATGAAGCGCTTTAAAGATGGTCACCAACACCTTGAAGTGCGCCCGGAAGACCACCGGAAGCCAGTGCAGCTCGCGCAGGAGAGGTGTCATATGGGAGCGCCCCGTTGCTCCCATAATACCCCTCGCGGCCGCATTCTGGACCAACTGGAGCCTCTGGGTGCACCCCAAGGGGAGCCCCATGTAGAGAGCATTGCAATAGTCCAGGCGGGAAGTGACGAGTGCCTGACTGACCGTGCGTAGGGAGTCCCGATCCAGAAACAGACGCAACTGGCGTATCAGGCAGACCTGATAAAAAGCCCCCCTGGCCACGGCCGTCATGCTCTTCTAAAGACAGCTGTGCATCCAGGAGGATGTCCAAGTTGCGAGCCCTCTCCGTGGGAGCCAGTGATTCGCCCCCAATAACCAGCAATGGCACCAGCTGGCTATATCAGGATGCTGGGAGCCACAGCCACTCGGTCTTGGAAGGGTTGAGTCGGAGCCTGTTTCTCCCCATCCAGGCCCGCACGGCCTCCAGGCACTGGGACATCACTTCAAGGGCATCGTTGGGTGGCCTGGGGTGGAGATGTACAGCTGAGTGTCATAGCGTACTGATGGAACTCCACCCCAAAGCCACGGATGATCTCACTCAGTGGCTTTACATAAATGTTGAACAGAAGGGGCGAGAGGACCGACCCTTGTGGCACCCCACAGACGCGCCTCGGGGTTGACCGCTGCCCCCCTGCCAACACAGATTGCGACCGGTCAGAGAGGTAGGAGGAGAACCACCGCAAAACGGTGCCCCCCACCCCTAACTCCTCCAACGGGTGCAACATGATACCATGGTCGATGGTATCAAAAGCCGCTGAGAGATCTAACAGGACCAGGATAGAGGAACAACCCCTATCCCGAGCCCTCCAGAGATCATCCACCAACGCGACCAATGCCGTTTCCGTGCTGTGCCCAGGCCTGAAGTCGGACTGGAGCGGATCTAGATAGACAGCTTCATCCAGGTACTGTGGAAGCTGCCGCGCCACCACACTCTCAACAACCTTCGCAATAAAACGAAGGTTGGAGACTGGACGATAGTTAGCCAAAACAGCCAGATCCAGAGAGGGCTTCTTGAGGAGGGGCCTCACCACTGCTTTTTTCGAGGCGGCCGGTAGGACACCCTCGCTCAGAGAAGCGTTAATAATCAATCCTCTGGAGCCAGCCTCGTGTAACCTCCCGGGAAGCCAGTACCAACCAGGAGGGACACGGGTCCAATAAACATGTGTCACGTTCAGCCGTCCGAGAATCCTGTCCACGTCCTCGGGAGCCAAGGATCAAACTCCTCCCAGATAACACTCTCAAGATCTGCCTCAATCATCCCGTCCGGACTTACACAGTCAGAGGCCAGGCCTTCCCGAATCTGAGCGATCTTATCATACAGATACTGCACAAAATCGTCAGCTCGACCCTGCAAGGGATCATCCTGCGCTCCCAGATGGAGGAGGGAGCGGGTCACCCTAAACAGGGCGGCTGGGCGATTATCTGATGACACAATAAAGGCGGCAAAATAGCTAGATTTTGCCGCTTTTATTGCCACTAGGTAGGTCTTTTTTTTATATATATAAAATAATCTTTATTAAATATTTACAATAAAATTAACACACAATAATGATTGAAAAGCAATATAAGAAGTAAAATATAGAAACACATAAACCCAGGACTAAAACGAAACAACAAACATGACTAACCAAGAGTTAAGCTCACTCTCCAATTAATATTAACTAATATCATCCTAACCAAACATTTCAATGCAATCAAGTTCTTTTTACTATCTACAACACAATTGGCCTGTTTTTATCAAAATTATAAAGAGTTATAAAGCCTAGTAAATATCTAGTTAATCTAATTAGACGATTTTATCACCCTTCTCCTAGGTTTAACCTTCTTTTGAGCCAGACAAAGCATCTGTCCCAACTTCTATTATATACTGAATCTTTCTTGTCTTTTAAGATATACGTTAGCCTGTCCATCTCAGCACATCGGAGAATCCTGTTTATTATCAGATGGTCAGGGGGCGTATCTGCATCTTTCCACAGTTGAGCAAATGCCATTCTCGCTGTTGAGACATGGACAAATATATACCAATCCTTCTTGTCTTATTCTGAGTAAGTAGAGGTCTGGGTGAAGGGGGAAGCTCACACCTGTTATTTCCAGCAGCCACTGCTGTATTAGGTAGGTCTTAATATGAGACCTCACCAGTGTTCGGTCGGATTCGGAACTGCTGGGACTACATTTGGAGTATAAGATGCACCCAGATTTTCACCTTCTTTTATGGGGGGAAAAGGTCCATCTTATACTCCGAAAAATACGGTACATGTTTGTTTGTTTGTTCGTTCATTCATTCATTCACTCAATTTGATTAATTGAATAAGTAAAAAATTGAATAAAATATAGTTTCAAAATGGTATTAATGAACATATATTCTCTGTGAAAATGTGAATCACAGAGTCTGTAGGAAGTAGTAGTCTGAAGGCTATTTGGCTTTATATAAGGCTTCTCACATTATTTCCCAGCACATTTTAGAATATTCAGCATCTGTGATATTTCATCAGTCAGGTATCAATGTTTCTAGTTCTCAGACTTAATCCTGCCATTTAGAAGTGTTGAAGGTGGTATCCAAATCTGATTGTAGCTAGACTACTTTCTCTCTTATCACCCTTTCTCACTCTCTCTCCTTCCTATTCCTTCCCTTCCCCATTATTAGTTACTTACAAATATAAGTCGATGATGTGGTGGTAATAGCAAACATTTTATTTTTATTAGTTGTGATTATGGTATCTAAAATTTATATCAATTATTTATTGCTGAATTGGGCAGATTAGCATATTATACTTTAAAAAAGAAACGAGTTTGTAAATCAAGTTAACAGAAGATCAGTTTTTGTTTTGGATTATTGGATGGGTTAATATATATATAAAGGAATTAATCTCTGACGTTCATAAGTCTATGCTCCAATTTGATTTGATAAATCAAGATTCTTTAATGTAAATTATCATAGGTATTGATGAAAATTGTTGATATTAATGTAGAACGTGCAAAGCAGTGGTGAAATCTGAACCAGTTTGTTACTGGTTCGCTGGACATGCATTTATGCCCAGTGCATGCATGCGCAGTTCACACCAATCGTACACTGCATGCGCATACACATTACACACCAAAAGGAGGCTTGGGAAGGTAAGTAGAATAGCAAGGGGGAGGGAAATCAGCTGTGGTGCGCGATCTTGGGAACCTTTTTAAAAACTTTTTTAAAGCATTTTTTACTACTGGTAAATAGGTAGTACTGGTAAATAGCTACTATTTACCGGTAGTAAGTTTGGGCTTTAAAAAAATATAAAAAAGGTTCCGACAATCACAGTTGTGCTGTGCAATCATCGGAACTTTTTTTTAAAAAAAATTTTAAAGCATTTTTTTACTAACTATTTGCCCAAACCGGTAGTAAAAAAATGCTTTAAAAAAGTAAAAAAAAAAAAAAGGTTTGGATAATCGCATGGCACAGCTGTGATTGTCAAAACCTTTTTTTTTACCTTTTTAAAGTATTTTTTACTACCAGTTTGGGTGAATATGTAGTAAAAAAATGCTTTAAAAAAGTAAAAAAAAAAGTTCCAACAATTGCACAGCACAGCTGGGATTGTCGGAACTTTTTTTTTTATTACTTTTTTAAAGCTTTGCTTTACTACCTATTCGCCTGAACCGGTAGTAAAAAAAATGCTTAAAAAGTAAAAAAAAAAAAAAAGTTCTGACAATTGTGTGTCGCTCAGCTGATTGTCAGAACTTTTGTACATTTTTTACTACCGGCTTGGCTGAACTGGTAGCATTTCACCCCGATGCAAAGCAATTTTCATAAAAACAAAAGTGGGCTTCAGTAGCTCCTTATTAATAAGATTTTAAGCAAAAGGTATTCAAGAAGGGATGTCCATTGTACCATGTACTGCACTGAGTGTTTCATCACTCAGCTATCAATGTTTCTGATTCCCAGGCTTAATACTGCCATTTTAGAAGTGTTGAACTCCTAAAGAGGGAAATTGACCTTCCACATGGAACTGTGATTAAGACTTTTTTTCACAAACAATGTTGAAGATATTTTTTATTTTCTCATATTTTCTCATAGTAAAACATTTGGGTGTAAAAATGTGATTAGGTACCTTGATAGGAAAGAATAAATTCAAAACATTTTCATTCTGGATTGTTTTTCCAAAACAGTTTGTTCAAAGGTGTGGAAGCAATCTCTTGCAAGGAAAACCAAAAATTGGAGTAGATCCAACAATTTTTTTTATTAAATTTGATAAGCTACAGTGAGTCCCTGAAGTCTGCACCTAGAGTGAAGACTGCCAGCTAAAATTTATCACTTCTTATATACAGCAAAGTAGAGAGACATTTGCTAAAGATAAAGGAACTGTTTTGCCACTGATAAAGAAAACAGATAACGTAATTTCAAAGTTTCACCACATCCTAGGGAAATATCTAGCTATTTGCTTTGAAATGCAGATATATGCTTGCATTATGAATCTGGTTTAACAGTTTGACCCACTGCCTTACTTGTAGAGAGGAGGTTAATAAACATAGTGATTATAAATGTCCTTGAGAAAGACACAGTTTTCAAAGAATGACTTATAGCAAAGGGAGAAATGGTTACATTGGAAGGTTACAATGTGCTGAGAATTATAGTATAAGAGATCAAAGTTACATTCACATTCAGTGTGCCCTTAGCATACAGTAATCTGCTATAACCAAAAAAAATCTACATAAAAAGGAGATAAAGAAATTTTAGGCTCTAAACCATGTGAACAGATGCCTGGCCATTTGGGTTTATGAATAAAATGCTATGCAAGCTTATATACATCTATACAAGAATTCTGGTAAAGATTTCAAGGGGCATTTCCTTTCATTCTTGGAAAAAGATTATGTTTCTTAAATTAAAATTAGATATATTCTGGAGATTATTTCTTTTGCATGCTGGGTTTCAGATCTGGGTATGCTATTATTGAACCTGTTTTATGAAAATAAAATCATGTGATAATTTTTTTCTTTCATACCTGTTATCTTTGCTAAAAACAGTGTTTAACAAGAAGAAAAAGTAATAGATTAGTTGTTTCAGTGTCTTTTTTTTTAACTTGGGAAAGTTAATGCCATTATAAAATATAAGTCTGTACCTTGGAAGACTTGGTTAGAAGCTGATATTGGTTAATAGAATGAATCCTTTGAATGTTGCTTTGTATAAGTGACTGTGTGACATTAGTTTAAATTGATGAATCATATCTTAGAATAAACAAGAGACATATTGAACATATAATATCAGTGCCCCCAAGTGGACAAGCAGGAAAACTGTTAAATGAATACCAATTAATATATAACCTGATATTAATATAAGATCTACTTCGTTAATTTTCCAATATTTCAACTATGCTCTAAAAGATTTTGTAATGATTATCCTAAGGATAATGCACCTTAGTTTAATTTATTTATTTATGTAATTTATATGCCGCCCTTCTCCCGAAGGATTCAGGGCAGCTTACAAGAAGGAACAAAAAAATTACATAAACATCAAAGTCAATTTAAAATTAGTTAAAATTAATTAAAAATTTAATTAAAATTATTAAAAATTATAAATTATAATTTATGTACTATATTGTTTAATTATCTGTAAACGGTTCTAATGTGAGTATACTTATTTCAAATGTAGCAAGGTAATTTGCATTTACCTTATTTTTCATGTATAAGATGCACTACCCCCCCCCCAAAAGTGGGTGGAAATGTCTGTGCATTTTATACAGCGAATGTTGCCGAAGCCCCACCCACCCACCGGCTGTGTTCAAAAGAGTGGCCTTTGTCTTTTAAATGCAGGTGGATTGCTGAATCTTGTCCTGATAGGTTTGTTCTCCTATGTTGTGCCATATGTTTATGAAGTTGTTGTTTTGTTTCTCCAATGTACAGATTTGCATATGGCTCATTGTACTGCATATACCACGTTGCTCAGTTTGTGTCTGGGTGTTTTATCCTTGGGGTGGACAAGCTTCTGCCTTAGTGTATTCTTGGGTTTAAAGTGTGCATGTATGTTGTTTTGGATGAAGATTGTCCTGAGGTATTGGTATATGTTAAAAATGAAGCATCTGATCCTCTACTATATGGTAATCTAATTCATTGATGGCAACAGAAAGAGCTTCAGGTATATTCAAAAGAAAGGAAGTGAAATGGTGTACTGGCTCAATAATGTTGGCAAAAAGATAATGGATAACAAAGAAAAAGTAATGTAACTGAATCCTAGTTTGTCTGTTTTCACCAACAAGAGATATTTGTATTATCTGTATTTTATCTTGGCTGTTCACCGCCCTGAGTCCTTTGGGAGTAGGGCGGTATAGAAATTTGATTAATAAATAAATAATAAATAAATGTGGCATTCTGAAGAATAGCAGGGTCAGGATTGAAGCTTCAGACTGATAAAAGCATGTTGGGGGGAAAGCTATTTACTTTAAACAAATTTACATCTTCAGGACTATATGCACTGTATTGAGGATGCATGAAGAACTTCATGTTAGCTTGGCTGAACCATTTTATATTATTTTTGAGAACTCTTAGAGAATTGGCAAACTGCCCAATGGCTGGAAGAGAACAAATAAATGTCACCTGAATGGCATGACAAGTGGATATACACTGGCTTGAAAAATTGTAAGAGTACTCTTCATTGATTCTTTATTAATCTGCAGCAATATACAAGTTGAGTACCACAAGGTGCAGTTCTGGATGTTGTACTAAAATATTTTATTAGTAAGTGGGATGAACATGTAGAGGCAATGTTTATCATGTTTGGAAATGATACAAAACTGGTTGGAATAGCTAATATCTGAGAAGATAGAATAAAAGGCAAAATGATCCTGATGAGTTAGCAAAAAGGTCTGAACATACAGTAACAGTACCTTATGTAATGAAACAGACACATTCAGAGTTCTTCATTTAAGAAAGAATACATAGAAATAGGATAGGGAGGGTACATGACGGCAAAAGATCTTGGAATAATAGTATATTGCAAATTGAATACCAGTCAGCAGTGTGATATGGTTGCCAAAAATGCACATACAGGTTTACGCTAATTCAATAGAAGTATTTCCAAAGTAATAATTCAACTTGATTCTGCATTGGTCAAACACAGCTTTCAATATTATGTTCTGTTTTGATTATCATATTTTAAGAAAATTCTAAAGTGATGTGGCCATAACATACCATAATAACATACCATAACATACCATACTATAACAGATTATAGAGAGGTCTGTTTCATGCTAGTAGGGGTTGACACCTGTTTTAGCAGTTTTCTGCTAGATTTGATGGCACAATTTAATATTTGAGGCTCTTTTATTGAATCAGGTGTACCATCTGTCTAGCCTAATGCTATTTTTAAGATCTCAGGTGTAAATATTAACCAAGCTCAGGTCCCTGAGATAAGATGCAAATCTGCATGCTCTGTTAATAGCAAAGCTATAATTGCACAAAGCGTATGTGATATAATAGCTCATATCATCAGAAAAATATGTACACCAACATTGTCTTAATTTATATCATGTAATATTACTGCCATAATGGTTATATAGTTTTCCCACTTTTCTTTTTTTGACCTGTCTGGTTCGTTGAGCAGTGTTCATTTTGTTTCTGCCAATAACTATGTGAGAAAGCTGGACTGGGGAAATGAAGGCTGGCCTGAAGTCCCTGTACAATTCTTATATCAGTGGTGGTGAACCTTTTTCTCGTTGTGTGCCGAAAGCATGTGTGTACTGCCCCCCTGCGCATGTGCACATGACCTCCCCACACAATCGCCCACCCCATGCATACACATGCAACCCCCCTCCCCCACCCCATGCATGCATGTGTGACCCCCCCGCTCCCCACACATGCATGTGTGACCCCCCCTGGTTTTGGGCCTAGTAGGCCTCCCTGTAGCCTTCTGGGCCCAAAAATGGGCCATGGGGGGCACTGCACCCACCCCAGGCTCCCCCTCCCCCTCTGTGCATGCGCGTGTGACCCCCTGCCCCCACGCATGCATGTGCGACCCCTCGTGCATACACATGCAATTTCCACATGCGCCCCCTACGCCTCCCAAAAATCAGCTGGCCGGCAGGAGGCATGTGCGCATGCGCGGTGGACTTGAGCTGGGTGACAGCTTGCATGCCCACAAAAAGGGCTCCACATGCCAGCTATGGCATGAGTGCCTGTTGTGGCCCATCAGCGGCCAGCGGAGCTGGCAGCAGATTCGGACAGTGAGGAGGTTGGGGAGCAACATGGGCCAGTCCTGGAGGCTCTGATGAGAAGGCTCTGATGAGGGCTCTGCATCGGAGGCAGAGAGGGGGCCAGTTATCAGCTGCCTTCAGAGTCAGACATCAATGAGGCAGATGAACAGCTGGAGCCTGTTCCCAGTGTGCGCATGCTCAATATTGCCAGATGAAGGGAACAACTAAAGAACAAGGGTCAACTTGGGAGTAAGGCCACAGGTAGACAATGAATGGCCCCTCCCAGAGGGAGTAAAAGAGGAGCAAAAGGAGAGTGGAGTTTGCAGGAGACAATTAGTTCACCTAATTGGTTTGTGATTCTCTGGGACTCTTTGCCAAGTTTCGAAGATATCGGCCTGGCAGCTCTCCAAGCCAGATAAGGTCTGTGACTGTAAATTCTCCCTTGAAAGACTTTGCTGAAGGTGAATGAGGGGAATTCACTGTTTGTTTAATAAAAAGGGGTTTTGCAAGACCAGGATTCTGCATCGTGCTTTTTGGGGAAGCCTAAGTCAGAACAGTGCCATAGGTTCGCCATCACGGCCTTATATGGTCAAAAGGGACTTGAACCTGGATCTCCCAAGTATCAAACTGTCTCCTTAATCATTCTACACTGAAATTATCCTCAATAGGTTCATGACATTGTTGTCAATATAAGTTTCCAGATGTAATCTAACATGCTTTCAGCAGTATTTTAGATAGGTTAAATCAGTATAATGCTTATTATATATTGTTACTATTTCTTATTTATAATGACTTAATAAGCACAGTTTTAATAACTTAATACATGTTTTTGCATTCAGTGAAATATTTTGTTGTCTCAAAATTAATGTTTTCTATTCTCCCAGACTTTGCTATGAAGATAATTACTGTATTAGGGACATGTTGCAACTAAATTTATTTGTATTTATTGAGACTTTCAACAGAATTCTCATATTTATAATGAAGTGTAAGATTTCTTTGATCATATATTATAGCATAGTGATAGGCCAGGGAGTCTTTTTGAATATCTATCTGTTTTTTACCATGGCTCATAAGAACTGTTTGCCTTTGTTCAAGAGAGATTGTTTATATCTACCGGTAGCTCTATGAAAACTAATAGTTATGATTATTGATTACATGCCATAGAGCAGTGGTGAAATCCAATTTTTTTTACTAACAGCTCTGTGGGCGTGGTTTGGTGGGCATGGTGTGGCTTGGTGGACGTGGCTTAGGCGTGGCAGGGAAAGGATACTGCAAAATCCCCATTCCCTCCCCACTCCAGGGGAAGGATACTGCAAAATCCCCATTCCCTCCCCACTCCTGGGGGAAGGATATTGCAAAATCTCCATTCCCACCCCACTCTGGGGCCAGCCAGAGGTAGTATTTGCCGGTTCTCCGAACTACTCAAAATTTCCGCTTCTGGTTCTCTGAACTGCTCAAAATTTCTGCTACCGGTTCTCCAGAACCTGTTAGAACCTGCTGGATTTCACCCCTGCCATAGAGTCATTGTCAACTTTTAGCAACCATATAAATTGATTTTCTCTGCTGAATTACTCTGAATTACTCTGAACCTACTGAATTAGGTTAGATTCTAGTGTTCTCTGAACTTGGTTGTTTTCTTGCAGACATTTCATTACCCAAACAGTGCTATAAAAAAAACCCACCCTAAAATAACAACAACCAAGCTCAGAGAACACCAAGGACCCCACATTTCAGTCCTGAGCTGTAAATATTGTCCTTTATTGATAGGTTTCTTCTTATTTACATTTGACTAAAGAATAAAGCATATTCCTTAGTGAAGTATGAATTCTTTTTTAGTTTGTGTTATTATCACAGTATGTTATACTTTGTTGACATGCTGAAGTGGTATAAAGTCAATAACTGATTTGCAATTCCTTATCTAGTAATTTGATCTCTATCTAAATATATAATTGTCATTAAAATATTAACATTTTGTTTCTTTTTTGCAGGCATAAAGCCAAAACATTTGTGACCTTAGTACTTGGAATGTTCATCATCCTGGATAATTATTCTGAAATTCTGCTATAGGATAAATGCCTTGATAAGAAAAAGGTGATGATGAATAGCACTGAAGCCTTGAAATCCTTGTATTGACTGAGGAATTACAATGTTTACTTTGTGAACAAAAACTATTTTGTAGTGGACAAAACATTTGAAAATGCGGCCATGGACTGGCTCCTGGCGATGGATTATGCTCATTCTTTTTGCTTGGGGAACATTGCTCTTTTACATAGGTGGACACTTAGTACGAGACAGTGAGCATCCGGACCACTCTAGCCGTGAACTGTCAAAAATACTAGCAAAACTTGAACGATTGAAACAGCAAAATGAAGATTTAAGACGAATGGCAGAGTCTCTCAGGTAGGTTTTTAAATCTTTCTCAGAACATGAGTACAGTGGAATTTTATTGTCTATATACAAACATAAGAACGAAGCTGACTTCATTATTAAATATTTTTCTGACGGATCCTGCAATTATGCATTTAGAGCTATGCATATATTTTGTAATATTTTTTCCTGATATAGATGCTTTTTTTGAATAGTAGAAGCTATGGATAGTTTAATGTTGATTTTTTTTTTTTTTACTATATTTCGAGTAACAATGTTATTCCATTTGTTACACAAAAGTTAACAATGGTCTTAGAGCTAACTGAAAATTTTAAAAGATATTAATTTTAGGGTACAGCAACTTCATGATATCGTTTTTAGGAATGTGCTGCTATGCTCTGCTTACAGTTATGACTAAAAAGTGGAAGGGCACCATTTTCCTCCCTCGCTGCTCCGATATTCCACCGATTGGATAAAGATCCACTGTCATTGGACTGACTGAGTGCCATTCAAACTTCCTCTACAGCCTGGTCACGCCCCTTTCTTCTGCGCATGTCCAGTCTTTTCACTCAGTCACAGGTGATTAGACTGGTGTGCCTTTCGTTCTTAGATACATTTTGTTAATTTGTTTCAAACGGTAGAGTTTTTAGCTGTTTTTTTGTTCGGAGAGTTGTGGATTCAAAGAGATACAATAAATCAGCGCTAAGCAGCTTCGGCGTTTCCTGGCTGGGGCGCCAGCTGCCTTGGATTGTTTTTGAAAGTAATTAGCGCTACACGGCTTTGGCGGTTTCCCGGCTGGGGCGCCAGCCGCTTTGGGCGTTTTTCTGACAGCGCGAGGAAAGAGGACCTTGTAACGGTCCTAAAGCAGCCGTTTGAGCCGCGAGCGAGGAGAGGGTTATCCAGCGCGCCGGTAAAACCGCCCTCGCTCTCGCAACTCTCCGCTTTCTTTTCTTTACATTGTAAGCGGCTTCGGAGTCCCTGCATTGTAAGCAAACTCCATATACCAGCAGGGCACTTTGCAACGAAGATTGGCAGAAGAGAGAGGCTGCATTTGAAGCCGAGTCGGCTGAGGTTCCGATCTCGCGTTTGTGTTTGATCTGCCTGTTTAGCGCCCACCCGCCTATTTGTTAGAGCGGTCTAGGGCAGCTTTTCGGCTAAGTCGTTGGTGGACCGTTAACGGCTATTGTGAGGAGTTATCTACAGACGCTGTCTGGCATTGTCTGACCTCCTGTATACTGCTGTCAAAGGAAAGTATAAAATTTTTGGTTCCTTTGACTATGTGCCTTTGCCAGATTTGTTTTCTCAAGTCATTAAGAAACCTTGGAATCGACCTGGTTCAATTTCTGGACCCAATACATTTGATAGAAAGCTTTATTGTAGCTCCCCTGAATTGGATGCTCTTCTACAGTTACCTGCGGTAGATGAGCCCGTGGCCAGCCTCACTTCACCATCAGTGTTGGTCAGTGATGCTGGAGATGGTCTAAAATTAGAAGACAAAAGGGCAGAGATGATTTTCAAAAAAACTCATCAGGCTGCCGCTTGGGCAATCAGGGCGGCAACGTCCGCCTCATTTTTCAACAGAGCCTCATTAACTTGGCTCCGTCAATTAAGAGAAGGGGTACCTTCCCAAGATGTCAAACTTATGCAAAATGTGACTAAGTTAATAGCTGCGGCAGAATATTCAGCCGATGCATCTCTGGACGCAGCCAAATTTGTATCAAGAGCGTTGGCCTCAGCAGTATCATCAAGGCGTCTTCTCTGGCTACGCCAGTGGAGAGCTGATATGAAGTCAAAATGGCGCCTTACTGCGGCACCATATCAAGGACAGTCTTTATTCGGGGCATCATTAGAATCGATTTTAGTGGAAGGTCGAGATAAAAAGAAAGTACTACCATCTTCATATAGACGTAATGATAGACATTTTTCACCATATCCAAGACAGTCCTTTCGGCCAGAGCAGGGACCTAGTGGTTCCAATTTTCAAAGATTTTCTGCTCAACAGTATTCTTCCTTTTCGGATAGAGCATTGTTTCGAGACAGGGGAAGACCTCAGGCCGGTTTCAAACGTCCTTTTAGGGGAACGGGTTCTCGCTCGTTCCGCAGAGGAAAATGACTCGTCGACCCCTGTACCCGTTGGAGGGAAAATCCAATTGTTTCGCAACGAGTGGAAACTTTCAACAACAGACAATTGGATTCTTCGTACAGTGACGGACAGATTACAACTGGAATTCACGTCACCACCTCCAATGTTTTTCCTTCAATGTCCCTTTTCAAAAATTCCCTTAAAAAGACAACTAATGGAGTTGGAAATTCAACACTTACTTCAGATAAAAGCAATAGAACCAGTACCTCAACATCAAATAAACAAAGGTTTTTATTCAATTCTTTTTCTTGTGCCCAAAAGTTCGGGAGGATGGAGGGGCATCCTCAATCTAAAGCGATTAAATCTCTATGTGAGGTATCGCCGTTTCAAGATGCACTCCCTCAGGTCACTGCTAGGATGTATCCTATCCAACGATCTTATGCAATCCATCGACCTGAGGGAGGCATATCTACATGTACCAATTTATCCAACGCACAGGCAATTTCTCAGATTTGCGTATGCAGATCACCATTTTCAATACCGATCTATGCCTTTTGGCCTCTCATCGGCTCCAAGGATATTCACGAAGTTAATGGCAGCAGTAGCGGCAACACTAAGGGAGAAATCAGTAAGAATTGTCTGTTATCTGGACGATATTTTGATCCTGTCGTCATCGGTACATCAAGCAGAACTGGACAGACAGAGAGTTCTTCAAACATTGCAGAATCATGGCTTGACTATCAATTGGGACAAAAGTCAGCTGGAGCCAACAACCCGAATATTACATCTAGGGGCAGTAATAGATTCCAGGCAGGGAATAGTGGTATCTTTCCCCAGAGTGCCAATCCAGCATTCGGAAATTGATATCTCAAGTGTTGTCTCTGAGAACTGTGCCTTTGATTCTGTTGTCTCAACTATTGGGCAAACTAATCTCATGCATAAACATTGTGCCTTGGGTTCGACGCCACTCTCGTCAATTACAGTGGCTTCTGTTGCCCTACCAAAAACAGGGCACGGCGGATTCCCAGTTCAAGATCAAGCTGACTCTGACAGTGAAACTATCACTAAAATGGTGGATATCACCAGCCCTGAGAGCGGGGACACTATTTATAGAGCCACCAAGGATCAAGCTGACCACGGATGCCAGCCTGATGGGATGGGGAGCCCATCTCGGGTCTCAACTAGCACAGGGAACATGGTCTCCCGTAGAGAAACAGTACAACATAAATTTTCTAGAATTAAGAGCAGTCAGATTAGCGCTAAGACATTTCCATCAGGAAGTAGTGCAGAAACATGTATTAGTTCTAACAGACAATATGGCCACAAAGGCTCATCTGAACAGACAGGGAGGTACGCGATCAAAATCGCTCATGAACGAGACAGAAAAACTGATGGCATGGGCAGAGATATATATATACTGTCGATAAAGGCGGAACACATTTCGGGTTCCTTAAATCAACAAGCAGACTGGTTAAGCAGGGGGATCATAGATCAGTCAGAATGGAGATTGAATCCAAACCTATTCCTGCAGATTGTAAACAGGTTCGGAAAGCCGAGGGTGGATCTGTTCGCCACGGAAAAGAATACACAACTTCCGAGATTTTTCTCCAGATTCCCGACTCCAGGAGCGGAGGCTCTAGATGCTCTGCGAAGTCCTTGGCCTCGGGGACTTTTATATGCATTTCACCCCATTCCCATCATTCCACTTGTCATAAGGAAAATGATGATGGAGAAAGCGGAGCTCATTCTAGTGGCACCGTACTGGCCTCGCCGAGAGTGGTTTGCAGATCTGAAAGATCGTTTGATCGATCAACCATGGAAGTTACCAGTGGGCAGACGGGATCTGAGTCAGGGAGCAATCTATCATCCAAATCCAGACTGGATCCAGTTGACCGTCTGGCGCTTGAACGGATTCGTCTCTTGAAAGATCAGTTACCACATGATGTAATAGACACCATTCAAGCGGCCAGAAGACCAGCAACAGTCCGCATTTATAATGCATTCTGGAAGAGGTTCGCTAAGTGGGCAGTTGAACAACATACAGATCCTACCACAGCATCAGTACAAGACGTTCTTAAGTTTTTACAATCTGGATTCAAAAAAGGACTTGCACCAGCTACTCTCAGACATCAGGTGGCTGCCTTAGCTACAGTGCTTCATACTGACAGGGGGCATTCGTTGTCTCAAGATCCTAGAATTAGATCATTTTTACATGGTGCTGTAAATTTAAGACCACCAACAGTACATAGATACCCAACTTGGGATCTCAATTTAGTATTACAGTCATTGACACTAGAACCTTATGAACCTATCAAGGAAATAACATTAAGACATCTTACAGTGAAACTAGCATTTCTATTAGCGGTTACGTCGGCTAGACGAGTATCTGAATTGGCGGCATTATCTATTCGTCAAGATCTGTGTATTTTCTTTCCGGACAGAGTGGTTATGAGGCTGGATCCGGTATTTATTCCAAAAATTAATTCATTATTTCACAAATCTCAAGACATTGTCCTACCTAATTTCTGCCCAAATCCTAGACATCCATTAGAAAAAAGGTGGCATACATTAGATGTTAGAAGGATATTAAAATGTTACATTAGGAGAACGGCATCTTTCCGTAAGTCTGAGACTTTGCTGGTATCCTTTTTACCATCTACTATGGGACAGAAAGTATCGTCTACAACAGTGGGTAGATGGATTAAAGCATGCATTGCTGCTGCTTACAAATTGCAGGGTTCACAAGCTCCTGAAGGCATAGTTCCACATTCTACACGCAGTGCGGCTACATCAGCTGCTTGGGTCACTCAGGCATCAATTTTTTTTTTTAAATTTGATTTATATGCCGCCCTTCTCCGAAGACTCAGGGCGGCTTACAATGTGCTCAGCAATAGCCTTCATACTTTTGTATATTTATACAAAGTCAGCTTATTGCCCCCACAAACTGGGT